CCAGTCTTATATAGAACCTTCGTTCTACTGGATCCCTCCTGGATCCATCGGGGTCCATCACGTGACAACAACCAAATGAAATCCATGGACCGCTTAGCTGGCCTAAGCAATCCCTATTTGCTATAAGAAACCTGGATGTGCCTGTCGAGGGTTGCGCCTCTTTATTATGACAAGTATCACGTGAGCATGTGATTCGTGACATGTTTACTCGGAGATAAACTCGTCACTTGTTAACAAAGAAGTAATAACTTAATAACTAGATTGCTAAACTAAGTTGAGCACGAAGCTCCTATCTAATGGCAGACGTGCCAGTCTTATATAGAACCTTCGTCCTCTCCTGGATCCATCAGATCCCTTCGGGATCTATCCGGGTTCATCACGTGACAGCAACCAATGGAAATCCTTGGATCGCTTAGCTACTCTAAGCGATCCCTATTATAAGAAACCTGGGTGTGCACTGTCGAGGGTTGCGCCTCCTATTATGACATGTATCACGTGGACACGTGATTCGTGACACTATCCCCTTTTTAGCCTAGCTTTGTCCCAAAGCTTAAGTACGACCAAAGAAATATCGTCAGAGGGTCAGCGACCTTCTGTTCTTCTTCCCCGAGGGCTTTCCATGTCCATGCCTCCCTTCCTGGGAGGACTTGTGTCACCTAGCTAGGGTGGACTTCCGTCTCGTATCGTCATGTAGAGGACTTCCCTGTCACTCTCTACCGTACACATGCCTCTATCCTTAGAGGACTTGTGGTAAGGTGAAGTAGGGGCAAGGCACAACCGCCTCCCTCTCCTCCATTCATATTCTCCCCTGCTTCCCTGGTCGTGAAACTCAAGAGGGAGTACACTTGCGCGATGCGATGCCTACACGGCCATCACGGACATACAAAGCCTGCACGGCTAGGGAGTTGCTCCCGGAAACTCGCACGAGGGCTCCTAACCTGTTCAGCAACTGAGACAACACTTGTCACGCCATTTTACGCCAACTTTGGGTATGAATTGGTAGCGTATCGAGAACCATTGGCTACGACCATCGACAACCAACTTTCCCGTATCCAGGTCTCGAAGATCAAAAGTCTACATCAAGAACTCGCAAGTGAGTTGCAGTTTGTAGCAGAACGTAACGCGCACTACTACAACAAACGACGTAGTCAGGAGCCAACATTAAAAGAGGGGGATAAAGTCTATCTAGTGCGAAAAAACATCGATACGAAGAGACCAAGCAACAAACTGGACCACAAGAAACTCGGACCATTCAAAGATCAATACGTGTTTGCGAAACAATCCTACCCCGCAGGGCCTGCGGACCTGCTAAAAGAAGGAACTCCCTACCGCTGGCAAGGAGAAACGGAAAAAACCCGGAAATGGGAAAACCAGTTCACTGGAGCAATCGAAAGAGAATACCTAGGAAAGCCACCAGGAGAAAAGGAGCTATGTGCTACTTCAGGAGATCACCGACTTGTGATCACAGCCAAAGTGCGAGGAAAGAAGCTCCGAGTAATGGTAGACTCGGGAGCCACAGGAAATTTCCTTTCCCCAGCGGCAGCCAGGAGGCTGAACGTCCCCATCGAGAGAATGACGCCCTACCAATTGACGGTAGTGGACGGGACGAAAATAGGATACCAAAAGGGAATAATCGACCACAGAACCATCCCGACAAAAACCACCATCGAAGGACACTGCTCAGACACGCAATTCGATATTGTCGAAATGGGAAACAAGGAGGCGATTCTTGGTATGCCTTGGATTAGAGAGCATAATCCAGATATCGATTATCGCCCATGGGATCACGAGATCAAATTGAAAGAGGGTCATGACCTCAGGAAGCAGAAGCTTCGACCTCACAATTGGAGGAACCTTCAACTACTCGAGGAGTACGTCAAAGAAGGAATACAGAAGGGACATATTCAGAAGTCGGATTCACCAATCGCTTCAAATATGTTGATCGCCAAGAAAAAAGACGATCCGAAAGGGAGAGCTTGTGTCGACTACCGAGAAGTCAACAACGCTACGGTTAAGGACGCTTATCCGTTACCAACCGGCCAGTACTTGCGGGACAAGTTAGGCCGCGCCAAGATATTTACCAAGCTCGACCAACGAAACGCGTTTGGCTTGATACGGATCAAGCAAGGGGACGAATGGAAGACAGCGTTTGTCTTGCCATCAGGACTCTACGAGTACACGGTGATGCCATTCGGTCTGACCAACGCACCCGCTACTTGTCAGAGACAAAACAACAGCATCCTGGAAGACTTGCTAGGAGTGACTGTGATCTGTTACCTAGACGATATTCTAGTGTATTCAGAGCACAAGGAAGAACATGAGGGACATGTCAGAGAAGTCCTGAGGAGACTTACTGCCGTGGATTCCCGCTTGAAATTATCAAAGTGCGAGTTCGGAGTAACTCGTACCCTCTTCCTAGGATATGTGATCAGCCCCGGACAAATGGAGGTTGATCCCGAAAAGATCAGGGCAATCGTGGAATGGGAATCACCAGAAAATGTCAAAGACATCCAATCATTCCAGGGATTCGCCAACTTTTGTCGACAGTTCATAGGGAACTATTCAGGATTGTCCAAGCCTCTCACAGATTTCACTAGAAAAGACAAACCATTCTTCTGGGACGAGATCACGGAGAAGGCCTTCCAGCAAATCAAACAGAGGTTCGCGAAGGAACCTACCCTTTGGAACCACGACATCGACAAACAAAGCACTGTAGAGACAGATGCCTCGGATACAGCAATCGGAGCTGTACACCTACAACCAGACGAGAACGGGAAGCTTATGCCTGTCGCATACTTCTCGAAGACGCTCGACTCAGCTCAGCAGAACTATAGCATATTTGAGAAAGAACTTCTTGCTATATATCGAGGAGTCAGATCAGGTGACCTGCGTTCATTCATGAAGCTATTCACAATTATGGATAAACCAGCACAGACCAGTGTCAACCGACTTAAAAGATAGATCTCCTTAAGAATCTCTTCTCTCCCTGTAATCAATCTATTCAACCAAGTCGCAATTGTCCTCGACTTGCACTTGTACCGTGACATTGATTACCGCACACATAATCGCGATCTAACTTGTCCTCGACGTCGATCACGATTCCCACCACAACCTTACACCAACCACCGCTACAATGACCTCCGCCAACAGTACCTCGTTTATCAACACACTGC